TGTAGAAATATAGTAGTTTAATTTAGAAAAAAATATTAGTAAATGAGACCAACTTAAAGCTTAGAAATTTTTAATGATAAGAAATATGAAAATATGAGTTCCTATCTAATTCAGAAATATTATTTATTTTCTAAATATAGAGTTTAGGCATTTTATCATATCCACTTAAAATTTTTATTAAGCATAATTTTGCTTACTATATTATATCCTTAAGCTTAAGAGTTTCTCAAGTTTTTTACTTTAAAAAGAATAGATGTGGAACTAATTTTTGATTAAACACTAATCTTCAAGCTCCTCCTCCCTTTTTTAATTTTTCTTTTTCTTTTTTTTCTCATTTTATTTTCTTTTTCTTTTTTTTTCTTTTCTTTTTCTTTTTCAGGCAAGGATTACTATATCTGAATAAACCTTTAATGATTTTGATTCCCACTCTTCCTTTCCTAAAGCAAAGAGTTGATATTTTCTTTCACTTAAAAACATAATAATAGTTTTAAAAATTAATTTTAATAAAAGAAATTTAAGTTTTGAAAATAAAAGGTTTAAATTTCTAAATTTTTCAAAATATAATTTTTCCTACTAAAGATAGTTACTCTATGTTTAACATTTTCCACACTAAAAATTTTTAACTTTAAGTTTTTCTACATTACTATAAATTTAAACTAAATTCTCTTACTAATTTCTATATTCAAAATTTTACTTTCCTAATATAACTGCATATACATAATCATTTTTTTTTCAAATCAATATCAAATTTATTAGAAATACATTTGAGAACAAATAAATTTTTAAGTTCTTTAAGAAAAATTTTCATCCCTCCCCCAAACTTCAATTTTTAATAAAAATAAAACATTTTAGTATCATATATAAATAAGCATGAAAGAAAACCAGGAATGACAAAAATATTTTAACTACTTCTGTAGTTAGATGACAAAAATAGCTAGGGAATTCTTTAAAGTTTGAAGCTCTCTCTCAACTTTCTCCTTCTTTCATATAAATATTAGGCTATATTTATAAAATATTGAGCGTTATGATAAATTTTGTCAAAATCTCTAAATATTCTAATGAAAGGTCTGTGTTGAATCCTTTGATTATAGATTATTTTTTCATCATTTGAGTCTTTTAATGATTTTGGAATTAGATGATCTTAAGCCCATGAGATTCATCTTATCAAGATGCACAATTTATTAAAATCATGTTATATTTAGAATTCATTTAACCATTCAATTAATAATACAAAGTTTTTAATTATACTATTTTATTTGGGATCATTTGTACTCGAATTGAACAAATTTATTATCTTTAAGTTCAATGCATTTGACGCTCAATCTTGTTATAAATTCACTAAAATTAGAGTCAGATGATCACAAATTTTAATTTGAAAGTTATTTTTCTAAAATGCATTGAGATTAGTGCTTGATCAAGTGCATTTTTATTGACATGTCATTAACAATACAAGAACAACAACAACAACAACAACAAAGCCTTAATTCCAACGACTACATGAATCCTTTTTCTTCATTGCGTCCTATTTACTGTCATATTTTCATTTAGTTCTAATAAATTCATATCATTTTTATACAATAAACCCAAGTCTTCCTTGGTCTACCGCTGCCTTTCTTAACATAAGTCGAATCTAAAACATCTACTCTCTTAATCCGATCATCAAATGGTTGACGCTTAATGTGACCAAATCATCTAAGATGACTTTCTCTAATTTTGCCCGTCACAGGAGCTACACCAACCCTATCACAGATATATTCATTTCACATTTTGTCTCTAAGTGTAAAGCCACTCATCCACCTAATCATTCTCATCTCGAAAACACTTAACTTAGTATTATTCTTCTATTTTAAAGGCCAACATTCAACGCCATAGAGCATTACAGGTCTCACCACCATCTTATAAAATTTTCCTTTCAGTCTAAGCGGCATTTCTATCACACAAAAGGCCCGAAGCATTCCTCTACTTCAACCAACCAACTTGAATATTACCATTAACATCCCCATCTATATCACCATTTCTTTGAACAACATACATAAGATATCTAAATCGTTCACACCTTTAATAATTTGATCACCCTAATTTGATCACCCAAAGTTCACCCAAAGTTACACTTTTTTCACTAGAGCTACTACTACTAAAATTACATTCCATTTATTCAGTTTTAATTATACTCAAATGAAGACCTTTAGAATCCAATGTGGACCTCCATAATTCAAGTTTTTCCTGTGATTTTTCTCTCGTCTTATCCATGAGAAGGATATCATCAGCAAAAACATACACTAAGGTACATCCTCCTGTAAATGTCTAGTAAGACCATCCATAACTAAAGCAAAAAGATATGGGCTTAAAGTCGATCCCTGATGTAATCCAACAAAAAATAGAAAAATATTTGGTCAATCCTCCTTCAGTTCGAACACAAGCAACAGCTCTAGTATACATATCTTTAGTGACTTGAATATAAGTCATATCAACACCTTTCTTCTTAAGAACTATCTAAAGGATATCTGTTGGAACCTTATCGTAAGCTTTTTCTAAATCAATAAAAATCAAATGTAGATTCTCCTTATTATCTATGAACTTCTCTATCAAACTTCTCAATAAATGTATAGCTTCCATAGTAGACCTGCCCGACATAAATCCAAATTGATTATGAGAAGTCTTTGTAATACGTCTTAACATATGTTTAATTACCCTCTCCCATAATTTTAAAGCACGACACTTCAACTTAATTCCTCTATAATTTGTACACTCTTGTGCATCCCTTTATTCTTAAAAATGGGTACCAAAATACTCTTCCTCCACTCGTCAGACATCTTTTTAGTGTTTAAATATATTAAAGAGTTTAGTAAGCCAAGAAACTTCCAAATCTCCTAAACATTTTCATACTTCAATTGGGATATCATCAGGTCTTACAGACTTTCCACCCTTGGTTTTCTTTAAAGCCTCCTCAAATACTTATTTACTAATGTGACGGTAAAAAATAAATATTTTATTATTATTAACAATATTAACATCACTAAGACTGATCATATTTTCAGAAATTTCAATAAAAAGTTTATCAAAGTAACTCACTCACCTCTGTTGAATATCTTTTTCTAAGAAAAACACTTTTTGATTTTCATCTTTAATACACTTTACTTGAGTTAAATTTTCATCTTTAATACACTTTACTTGAGTTAAATCTTACTTTTCTTTTCTCTTTGTTTGACTAGTTTATACATATATTTTTCACCCTCATTAGTATCTAATGTATTGTAAAGATCATTAAAAATAGAATTTTTAGAGTCACATATTGTTCTTATAGACTCTCTGCAGATTGTTTTTACATTTAAATCAACTTTCATAACAAAACTTCTTATATTTTATGTTTTCTTGCACATTATTATTCCGCCACCAACTATTTTTATTTAAAGAAGCTTTTTTCTTTTGATTCTCAAAGTACATCTTTTGCTACTTGTTTAATAGTGTTTGCTATTTTATTCCACATAGTATTTGCTTCATCATGAACATCCCAAATTTTAAATCTTGAATTTACAAAAAAGAATACAAGAATAACAAAAAAGAAAATTTACAACTAAAATTATTTAATTAAATAAATAATTTTATTATTTAAGTTCTATTCTTAAGATAGTAATATTTTTTTTATTAAAGCTCTCAATTTTTTTAACAAATATAAATTAATTATATTTATTTTATAATATATTTTGTCTATTATAATGTGTAGATTATATATAAGCAAGCATTGTGATATTTGGGATGGTAGCATACTTTTACCATATTTTATATCAAATAAAATTTATATAATTTCTTATGATATAACAAATGCACCACATGCAAAGTAAATAACTCCATAGATTAAATAAATAGTAAATTTGATGGGAAATTTGCTTACTCACCACACTACTCCTCTGTATTTATATATTTAACACCTAAAGTTTGATATTACACTTATGACAGTTTGATACAAATCTATGCATGACAATATGCATTTCATTTTAAAAATTACTTAGCAGTGGTATTTTTGATGTTATGTTAAAAGTTTTTAAGAACTATACATGTAACATTGAAACTTTAGAGTTCTATCCAAGTTTTTTCTTTCGAATCATACAAAGCGCCAACTCTAAATACCAATTCATATGTATGTAAAGTGCTATGCTTGTAAATATGAAAGTTTAAGTGTGAGATACGTAAATCCAAAAGAATTGAGTACTATAAATGTGAATTTCCCAGAGATTTATAAATATAAAGATATTTTTACATTAGAATGAGAACTTTTTTTTTTTTGTCATATATCATTTATTTTATGCTTTACGTATTATGTTTTCGTACAAATCATAAATTAAATAAAATAATTAAGCAATTAGAAAATATAGTTAAATTATTAAAAAATATATAATTAAACTAGTAGAAAGTATATCTAGTTTATTTAACTTTTGTATTAGTTTTCCTTAATATTTATATTTATTTTTTTATATTATCAAATAGTTTAAATATATTGCTTAAATAGTTTAATAAATTACCTATTATTTTAAGCATGTCGAAAGATAATATATGAATTATAATTTAGAATATATGATTAAAAATTACACCCTAAATAAAAATATATTTGATTTTTTTCATAAATTCTTCTTCTAAGTTATTAATTAATTTTTATTATTTATGGTAAGATGAGATTTAAACTCGGCTATTTAGTAAATATATTTTTAATCAATATGACATGTTTACACACATTAATTAGTTTTTCATAGAAAAATAACATATGCATTGCATAATTCTTATGCATTTTTATATCTAATATCTAATTTTTTATATTTATATTTTTAGCACATTAATGTCATAAAATTAAGCATTAAAAGATATATTTAATTTTTAAAAATAAATAATAATGATATTTTTATATATAATGTTAAAAATGTCAGTATTATATAAATAAGTTTGAATGTTTTATTGTTATAAGTATATTGAACTGTTAGAGCAAAGTATGGAAGCACAACCCTTGGATTTATAAGCTGCAAATTGCTGCCCAAGGCAGGGATCGCCGAACACGGGCGCCGACCATCCAACGGCTTATCGCACGGCACGTCATCTATTTAAGAGCGCCTTTAGCTCTGCGATTCTCGAAGTAGCGGCGGGAGAAGAGCGCTTTTATTCTTCCCTGAAAAGCGAAATGCAGTTTCCGACTCGCGTCCGCATCGCCTATTGCCCTGCTCGCGAATCTCTCTCTCCGTCCGAGCTTGGAGTGCCTTTACTCTTTTTAGGTTATCCTTGTTTAGGACGCTTTTTACTTGATTTGTAGGTTTCAGAAGATCTCTTGTGGGTTAGGAAGGGTACTGGTGGCAGGACAGGTTGAGGATGGTGTGTTCGTCAAGAAGTGGTTTGCTTGCGTGGTTTAACGCTGCATCGAGGGTGGATTTTGATGGAGCGGCTAATGCGTCCAGGTCTGATGCCTTTTCGTCTGCTTCGTCGCTGTCTTCGTCTCACGTCAATCGCAGGGTGTCCGAGGACTCTAAAATGGGTTTCGGTGAGCGTTCTTTGTCTGCTGTTGGAGCTGCCGTCCTCTCAGCTATCCTTGTGAATCCTCTTGACGTTGCGAAGGTTAGATTTTTTGGTTAGTTGCGCTGCTACATTGGAATCAAAGTGATATAATTTTGTGCTTGATGATAGAGAAAGGTTATGCATTCTGTTCGTTGAATACTTGATATATTTGTACACCGGGATTTCTATGATAGTAAGGATTAGAACTTTTTGGTGTTTTGAATTTTTTGTAGTTTGGTTTTATCCACGAGCGGTACATTGTTTAAGCTTGTGGTGTTTATTATTATTATTTTTTGCTTGTGTTTTTTAGGCATGAATTGACAACATAGTTTATGCTACCTTTAAGTTGTTATCCGCAAGCTTTTCTTTGATTTCCTAGATTGTAAAGGCAAAAAAGACGTGTTGGCGATATATGCGGTCGCATTGATTGTTAAAGACTATTCTTTTCTGTCCATTGCAGACGAGATTACAGGCGCAGGCAGCAGGAGCTTATTATTATCATCCGCAACGGCATTTTGGAAGACGGTTTGCTTCCCTTGGCCCTAATACGGTATATTTTAAAATTCATATTAAATAAAGATCTGCCTAAGTATTTATTTGTTGCGCTAGGATATGGAGGCTTCACTTTTTATGCTGATGATGCGGTGTACAGTGTATGCTGAGCTTTGATAATTTTAGGGTAGCTTTTTAATTAATCAAATTCTACTTATGTGCTGGCTTGCTAGGGAGTTTTTGGTAAAGTTCTTATATGGTGGGTGAGAAATTAGTGTGCCGTCAATTTTGTATTAGTTTTATACTTGACTAAAAAAAGAGCAGAATTGAAAAGCATCTTGTTAATCTTTGGATCAGTCTTATTATGTTCACTTAATATACATTTTAAGCTAATATCGTAGAATCACTTGTTTCACAATGACCTCTTACATTTTACAATCACAATGATTGACCTATAGATAAAGAACTTCTGCAAGTTGAAACATCTAGCAACGGTGCTCATAAAACTTCACCTTTTTCCTATTTTCTTTTACCTTAATCTTACAATTTAGCATTTTAAATGGTTGATGTAATGTCACGAATTAAAAGAGTTCGACAGGAAGATGTGTGTGACAAGAGATTGTCTCTCAATGCCATTTTCCCTTTTAGGAAGCTTGGTTTATCCTAGAGAGGTGTTTGGCACTTGTCTGCATTGTTTGTTGCTCTAACATTTATATCCTAACCAACCCCTTACTTTGGTTAACTGTTAAATTATTCTTTTCTATGTTGCAATTTTCCCTTTTAAGAATCAGGTTTTATTCTAAAGATCACTTGTTTGAAATGTTTGTCATGAGAACATTTATATGCTAACTAATCCCTTATTTTGATTAATATTAGTTTTGTTTGTTAAATTATTCTTTATCATGTCATTTTCTACAGTTTTCTTGGGTTGTAGGTCACCTCAGAAATTACCACACACACACACACTACCAACTTGACCTTTGTGTTCATACGTGGGGTGTGTGGAATTGGAGAATGATAAGCCATGTTTTAGACATCAATGGATGATAGACTTCTGACTTCAATCATTGGCAAGCTTTAGATTACATTGAAAAATTAGGTGTTGTGTAACATTGGGTGGTTGGCTTGGCAGTTTTCTTTACAGGTGGGGAGGTTGGTTGACTAGGAAGATGAGAAATTGTTGATGGTCAACCCACATTAGTTGACAATCGATGAGTTTCAAAGGTTAGTTTATGGTGGGCAATCAACTTGTCCTTTCTCTCAATTTGTTGTGATGTAGAGTGACTAGAAAGAAAAGTGTCAGATACTTATCATTGGTAGGCATTGAATGTGGTTGACGTGGACTGTTAAGGACGGGCAACCATGGGAGTTTAGCTTGATCACTCTGTTAATATAAAGGGAGTGCACTTGAAAAATGGCTTTGGATGTTGAATGTCAGACATTAGCAAGTGTCAGATGATGGCGGATGAGGAATGTAGAAAGTCTAGTGACAGTGAGTTGTGATTTTGTTATTATCTTATTGGGAGAATGATTACTGGGAAATTGGGCATCAATGTTTGACGATGTTGGATGTTGGTTTTTGGTTGTTGGTAGGTTTGTTAGAAGATAATTGATGCGGAATGTAAGAATTTGATGAATGATTGTTGATTGAGTTGGGTAGTCTTTTTTTAAGAGGTGATAATGGGAAATTGTGAATGGATGCCGAATGTTAGTGGTTGAGGTGATAATTTGGTATGTCAGATGATTGGTGGCAATAAATGCCTAAAGCTAGGCGATGATTGGTGGTCGGCTTTTGATCATTCTGATAGGGTAGAGATTGGAGGACCAACAATATGAACACCACCTGTCGGTGATTGATTATCTTTAGATGTTAATTATTGGCATGCATTGGATGATATCTGGCTGGTAACATTAGAAATTGGGTGATGGTAGTTGATGATATGGCAGTTCTTTTGATAGGGAGATCGGGCTAATAAAAAGACTAGCATCAGTAGAAAGAGAGTATCAGTCATTAGTTATTGGTATATGCCAAATGATGGTTTGCAAGGATGTTAGAAGTTGGGCAAATTCAAACAATCATTTTGATTATTTTCATCGAGATGTGTGCTTAACTAAAGTTGTGGGGCGTTGAATGTTGAACATGCAGGTGCTAAATGAGAATTGATAGGGAATGTTAGAAGTTGGGTTGACTTGGTTATTTTGTTGACATGAGGGGTGATGGGAGGATCAAGATAGGTGAGCTTTTTAAATGCTAGTTGTTGGTAGGTATTAGATGAAGATCTATGGGGAATATTGAAAGTTGGGCAATGGTAGAGAATTGACATGGTCATTCTCTTGAGAGATGGGAAGCTAAGCAACCTAAAAGATGTGCATTATCGAGTTTTATGGATGTAGGATGTAATTCGTTGGTAAGCATTTACATGTCTTCTTGTTGATAGATGATGTCTAATTTTGCTATTTGCTATCCTTTTTGTGTTTAAAAAATGTAAATCGAGGATAAAAAGTGTAAATTATAGGAATCAAACACTTCATAAAAATAAATATTTTTATTTTTAACTAATAATTTTTTTTATTGAATGTTTATCAATGAATTTAGGTGAAGTTAATTATCTTTATCGAACCTTGCTTTGTGGCCTTGTCATTTATTAAGTATTAGATATATGATTATGATATTATAAATCTATAATGGATGACCAGTCATGATTTTCTTTTGGTTGTGTCAAATGCCTTCTTGATAGTAATATTGATTGATTATGGATTTATTTATTTCTTCTTTTGTAGGTAATGAGTTACTGATGGACTTCTTGTTGATAAGATGCTCAAGATCGCCATTTTCAGTCCTTTATGTGCTGTGTCTTTGTTCCATGTCATCATTCTTTGTAGCTCCCCCTTTTTTTTGGCAGTATTGCTTGTTTAATAATTTTCACATTTAGTGGAGTAATCATAAATATACTGTTTTCAGGGCTAAAGAGTATTTTGTTTTGCGGCCAGCAAAATAAAATTCGACAATTTTACATGTGGGTGGCTGGTCATCCATTATGAATAAAACTTGGAATGCTATTTATAATGTACTGTTACTTCTATATGTTCATGGTACAAGTTAATTAATTTTCAGTTCATCACTTAAAAATTTAAATCAGCACTAAATGTTGTAACTTCTGTTCATTTAATCCTCATAAAGTTTATAAGAAATATATTTGAAACTTGATTTTAACATCTGGATTGGTATGGAAGATATTATAGCAGCAGTGTCAATAGGGACTACATGAATTTTTTTTCTTTCTACTGCTAGAACGCCATGTGAATTTGCTGATTTGACTAGCAAAAATGAAATATTTGCTATTTGAAAGTGATATGGCTTTCTGTTGAGCTTTAGGTATGGAAGAATATCACAGCATCCTTTAACATGGATGCTTCTTGAGGATAATATTACTTTCTAACATCTTATATGTTTCGTTATTTGTAAAATTTCACAATTACTAGTAGTGATAGTGCCCATTGTTTTTTATTTTCTCTCAAGTTACTTTGATTTGTATGTATTAGTCACTTTTGGTTTCTTGATTTATTTTGAGCTTAATTTGTTTCAGATGCTTTCAGAGTTCAGATGTTCTCCATCATGCACTCGCGGTGGAATATTTGGCGCTGATGCAGTTTGTCCTCCTGATTGTTTTCAGTACAAAGGAACTATTGATGTTTTTCACAAAGTCATCAGACAAGTAGTGCCTTATTTTTGCTTCCATACCAATTATTTCCGTATTGAATCTTATGTATTTTTTCTCAAGTTGAAAATAATGGCTTTAGATGGGCTAATTTTATGTTTAAAAACACAGGAAGGAGTTTTTAGATTGTGGAGGGGTACAAATGCTGGGTTAGCATTGGCCATACCAACTGTAAGATTTTTTTTGGTGTACTTATCTGCCTCTGAAATGGAACCATTTTTTACGTTGTTTGTTACCTTTTTAACGTAATTATGTGTGTTTGGCGCAAATCAACTATTCTTCATTCCCTCACTCTACCTTTGTTTTAGATGTACATGAAAAGAGAACTTTTCTTTTGACTTTATCATTCAATTTATGTTTAACATGACATGAAATTACTACTACAAACCATGCAATAGGAATATTCTTGTCCTGGAAGTTGATTTATTGAAAGAAATTTACTTGACCTAAATTACTACAAATCACGCTCATCTCCAACGATTTTATATTCTGCTAATTATTTCCTAGATTTTTTTCAGAGTTTTTTTCTTTGAATTTGATAATATTTTTTAATCTGAGCCCTTATGCTTTATTGATTCTTAGTATAAAGAAAATTTTGAGGCATGCTCCATGAGCCATAAACCATAAACCATAAACCATAAACAAACTTTAATTGACTGAATCATTTCATGGTTTGCGTGCAGATCAAGTTTATCTAGTCATCTAATGTGGCCAATGTTGGCTGAAGCAGTCTTCACTAAACCCAATTTTATGTGTAAATTTAATGCACATATGCAGACATCCTCGAAGCTTAGTGAGTCTAACTTCTGCAGCACCATATGAAGTAGATCGCTATCCACAATTTTTAGATATGGGATCACATTGACATCCTTGGAGTGGTTGTGTTTTAAATTAACCACTTGGGTTACGGTTTCCTCGATGTGGTTACAAAATTCACGCATTGAGCCCTTAAAGCACACCATGCACATACATATATTGCATGGGGTGTATGTATGCCACATATACATGCATGTGGATTATGCTTATACCGGTGCATGTCAAATTGGGTCATCTCCATTTTTAGAGCAAACCACTCAAGGCCAATTTATTTTGCAATAATAGATTAATATTAAGTTACTGGAATGCTAGGTTCCAACACACGTGTAATATTAATAAAATAATAAAAAAATATTTTATGAGGTCTGTAAAAATTAAATGCATTGCAACCTAAAAATGTTAAAATTTGAGTTCAAAAGAAATGAGTGCCTATAAAAAAAGTTAATATTACCGAGACAAAATCTCTTATTCACTTGAGTGATGATACATGTAATTACAATGAGACAATGGGCCCTAATCATGGTATTGAATTATGAAACATGGTAGCAACACATTTTTATTCTTTAATATTTCTTGTCTTGTTTTGCCTAACTACCTAAGGGATAGCCCTTCTTCCCTCCATTGATGTAAGAGAAAATGACTAAAGTGGTCTCTTGATTATTTGTAGGGTTTCATTTTCATCTTTAGATTATATGAAGGGTTAGATTTAGTCTCAAAAAAATTATAATAGAAGCTAAAATGATCCTGCCATTGAAGTATCAGAAATGCTATTGAATTTAAAAGATGGTGTTTAAAATGAGTTTATTTTAAGAATTTATATCCTTACATTTTTACAAAATCCAATTACCTATTTACGTTTTCTGAGATACAATATTTTGGTAATATTCTCAATACATCTTCATTCTCAGATCTTCTGTGAAGAAATTAATACATATTAAATTTATAAATTTTAGTGGAGATTTAGTTGAGTGTTTCATTCTAATTTTTTTTTAATATTTATACATTTTTATACCACTCATCAGCATATAGGTTATCATTATTTTTTTTATTACATTTCTGTCAATTCATTAATCGGTGGACTATTTTTTATCTTACCATAAATGAGTAAAAAAGGAATGAGTGTTTTTTTGTCACTCATTGAAAAATTTGTTCTTTTGTATGTTTTGCTATCTCACAACAACACAATAAAATCCTCAGATATTGATTTTTTAAATAATGAATGAAAAATGGTTTTAAGAACAGATGGATGGCAAAGGTGTACGTGTGGTAGCCAGATTTTATTTATATTGAATTTAAGAGTTTTAGAGAGAATAGATGATGCTGATGGTTGTATGAAGTTCTCTTGATCATTGGATCTATAAGGTGATGGCGAGTATCCATTTCCTTAGTAAGCCCCCCATCATTTTCTCATGCTCCATTTCTAAATGACATAATATCAAGCGTAAAAATATAACACAACACTTGACTTCTTTAGTTTGGTTTTGAATGGATAATAGATTTATAAATAAGCTAGAGTGTGCGCGATTTATTTATAAAATATTTCCTTAATTGTCTACAGTGATCCCAGATTCATTGACCATGGTTATTTTTTTTGTTGCCATGACAGTTGGTATATCAAATAAATTTGTAGGAGTTGTATGATTTTTAGCTCTAAAGCCATAATTTGTATGTTGAATATGGGTTTCTTTGAGAAGTTAAAACCAAGAGTAGAGGATGTAAAAACAAAGAATGCGGGAGTACAAGTATTTGTTATATTCTTTTCAAATGCTTGTAACAAGTTTTGTCTGTGTTTGTAAATGGCTCAATTTTTTTGTTAATATTTCAAACTTACAAACTAATCCTGACCATCTCGTAATTCTTTACATTTAATTGAAATATTGAATCGATATTTTGGAAATCTCCTGTTCGATTTTCTTTGCATCTCCCAGCTGCAGGTGAACTTGAGGCCAATGGTATGCGGATATTGTTATTGTCCATTGACAAATGTGGTTGTTATGTCCATAAGAAAAAAAAAACATGAAACTCTATAAATTGTGGGTTATTCTATTATATTGATGCTGATTATATAGGATCATTAGTCGATACAAGATTCAGTTGGGGAAATTGCACACTATTGGAAAAAGTTTGGTAATAAGAATGCTAAGTATGGATTCAAAGCAATTGCTTAATATATTTGTGAACTCCTATGGATTAAAATTTTTGTAGAAGATTGAAAATTAAAAGGTAGATTTATGTGGATATATTATGATAGCAAATCTGCTGTCAACATTGTCAAAAATTCAGTAAAATATAATATATCTAAATATGTGGACTTTGGAGTTAGAGTGTATTTCCTAAGAGAAATCAGAAAGTGAGTTAATTTACACTATCATATTTCAAAGGGAAGTCAACTTGCTAATATTGTTATTGAAGGTTTTTGCAACTATATATTCAAAAATATTTTACATAAAATTAGAATGGTAAATCTTTTCCATTCAATTGAGGGGGCGGTATTCAAAGTATTTTATGTTCTGTAACAGTGCTTATTTTTATGTGATTTGTAATTTGTAAATTCTCGACAAACCTTCCTCAGTTTTGATTACATAGTTGATTTCTGTCGTTTACATTTTTTTTTTACGTAGTTAATTTTGATTAAAAATCCTGCTAAGTTTTTTTTACTGAGTTTACGTGACAATTAGATATGCTTGGTGGTTGGTGGGCTCAACTTTTCTCCACAAAAAAATAAACTTTTATAAGCATCCCAAATTGATTGCCCCTTTGAAGTATTTCATTATTGTTTTTGGTTAATTGGCACAAATGTCACAATCAAACAATCTAGAAATTTAATTTTCATGTACAGATTTGGTCCAATTTGTCTACAGGTTGTATGCAGACTTAAATAGTGTTCTCTGCCTTTATTAATGTGAACTATTTTTCTACAGATGAAAAAAGCATTGAATTTTGTATTTAATTTTATCTCTTTATTTTAGTTTAATGCGGATAGTATGTTTCTTCCTTTCTATGTATGTAGGTTGGCATTTATTTGCCTTGTTATGATATATTCCGCAACTGGATTGAAGATTTTACTACGCACAATGCTCCAGGTTTAACACCTTACGCACCTCTGGTTGCTGGCTCAGTTGCTCGCTCAATAGCTTGTATAGCTTGTTCTCCTATTGAGCTGGCAAGGACACGTATGCAGGTCCTAATCTTATTTTAACTCATGCTGTGGATTTTTTCATGCAATAAATTTTATGTTCACTACTTTCCCATAAAATTAATTTTTGCTGGTAAATTCTTTTTGTTTTTGTTATGGGATTGGGAGCTATTGGAGCCTTTCTGATCAGGCCTTATCCTTTGTTCTGTAAAGTTTCCAATATGTAAAGTTTCGAGTATGCCTCCTTACCACCTTAGTACTGTCATTGCTTGCTAATTTTGGGGAAATTTTTTTATTTCTGTAAATAATGAAATATTAGAGGAAAAATGTTATAATTTTTTATAGAAAGCTACTATTAGTGATAAGAGATTCTTTTCACGACGCCTGTTTGGAAGGGCACTGAAGAGTAAGCAATTTCCTATAAAGGTGAGGTGTCTTAATTTCTTAGAAGTTCAGACATGGACGTTGTATTCATCATTTCCCCCCTCATCTCTTTTTCTTTCTGGGAATTGTTCTCAGCATTGGTTAGTTCTCATAAACTCCATGCTGCTAATATTGATGCCACTTTGTGTGTACTGTTTTTTGGGATGAAAATTTTGGCAGAATATTATATCCTACTCTAGCTGCCAACTGTAGCTCGGGGGATCGATGAATGCCTCGTTGACTTTTATCTGGGTTAACATCCCCTTTTTGACATTTATGTCTTCACTGTTACACTTAAGTTAAATTTGTAAATTACATGAAAACTATAAGGGTTTACCGACGGAAGCATGTTCCTACCAACAAGTGCCTTGGAGAGGAGAAAATTTTCTTTATGTAGTCCGGACGCAGCTCTGCGTGTGGACTCCAGTAATATGCCACCATGTGTGTTACATCGTGAAGTTTATTGGGGGGTTATTGAAGTAAAACTGCGGAGGTTATTGGGGGTTATTACATAGGGTTATTGAAGTGGAACCGCAGAGGTTATTGAGGGGTTATTGCAGGGCGGTATTGAAGTAGAACCGCATAGGTTATTGGGGTGGAACCGTGGAGGTTATTGGGGGTTATTGCGAGTGGTATTGCAGTGGGCTATTGAAGTGAAACCGCGGAGATTATTGGGGTAATACTCCCCCCCCCCCCCCCCCCCCCCCCACAATAATCCTTCCAATAACATCCGCTGTTCCACTCCCATATTTTCTTAGATGGGCTCAGTTTAGCACACATGGTGACATATTGCTGGACTCCGCACGCAGAGCTGCGTTCGGACTCTATATGGAAAATTTTCTCCTTGAAGAGGCTTGTAAAATAGATTACTTTTTTCGATATTATGTTCTGCTAGAATTTTTTTCATAAAATCTGAATCAAAATTATAAACCTATGGATTTTAATACAGGATGAAGCGGAAATTTACCATCATTTAGCTAGGAATTTGTTGAAAGAAGATGGTATTTATCAAAGGAGGCAGACAAATCGAAAGAAGATTTGAATGTATGCTGAAAGTAGAGCAGAGGATTAGACGAAGGTAGGAGGTAGACAAGTTAATAAAATTAGAAATAAAGTGAGAGATAGTTAAGATGTGCCATGAAATGCCGTGTTAATTATAAATAACAAAAAATTTTGGTCACTAAACACAGATGTGTAGGTTTCTGTAACTAACGTCTGAAATTGCATGAAAACATAACTTGTGGCGTTTATTGCTAGTATAGATGCATGCGTGCTGTCCGTATGGAACTGGTTTACTTGAAAGTTTGAGAATGTTTAAGTTGTGCTTTTTTTTTCTCTTTTTTGATTTATTATTATTTTTTTATGAATATCATGATACCATATCATTCAGTTTTCTTGTTGAAGATGAGAAATATCATGCGATTTGTCTGGATTATATTTTGTTTTACTGTGGTTGTTTTGTCGGCTTGTGCCAAGTCGGGTTGTAAAATTTCACTTAAAGTTAGTTCTACTGCAACAGGCATTTAAAGTCCGGAATGGAGCAAAGCCTCCTGGCATTTGGAAGACATTACTTGGTGTTTTATCGCCAGTTAAGAGAACTAATGAAAGTTGTAAGTCCTTTTTCTTTCCTTGGTCTGTTGAACAAAATTTCGTATGTTTGTAGTTGTGAATATTCTTCTCTTTTTGAGCCATGTCATGTATGCTTTTTTCTGTGGGCCAACTTAGGATGTAGATGAGGCTAAGTCTCAAATGTTAATTGTGATACTTTTCTCTCACTTATTAGAAATATGGTTAGATAACTAAATAAAGCTGTGACTCCTTTTTATTACTTGACGTGTTGAATTTTTGGAAGTGTAAACATTCATTTCTGATGTGTTATTCCATGTATGTTCTCATTCTCTGGGCCAAATTGGGATATAGATGTGGCCAATTATCACATACTAGTTGGAATACTTTTCTTTTGCATATTGGAAATAAGTTTTTTGTTTTTTGTCAGTATAATATCATATATTTGTCATATTTTCAATAGTAACTTGTGAAATTTTCAGTTTACTTGTACATTCTGAGCAATACATTACTACAGTTGTTGCTATGAATATTTCTGTTACGCCAATGTCTAGCTTAAAGGCAATTTTGTCTTTTATTAGCCTTAGGGCAAATTGGGTTTTTATCGTTAGTATTGTTGGGTATAAATGGGGTCTAATAGCTTAGGCTTGAGAGAGATTTCTTGCCTCTTGAATTCAGGGTTTGAGAGAGATTTCCTGCCTCTTGAATTGTAGGAATTTGGAGAGATTTCCTACCCCTCGAATTTTAGGTGCTTCTCTTATGTATTTGTATTGAGTTTTTTGGTGTTCGTGAAATAAAATATTATTTTCCCTTATTTCAGTGTGAAAATCTACTAAGAATCATATCAGGTGGTATCAGAGCGTTTCAATTTAGAAAGAAGAAATAATCACAACATGGAAATAATTTCACATTCAACTGGCGGAGACCCAAATCTTTCGTTCTCTCCTCTCTCGTGTTTGTCTGTGCGATAATGTCACGATCGAACCTGGGAAGTGGCGACGGGATCGCGGCAGAGACCTGAATCTCTTATCTTTCGCCTCCATTGCTGCATAAAGAGCTGGCAGAGAAGGAAATGATGGATCACAGCTTATTGAGACCTGAAACGCCAATATTTCTCCCTTCCTGCTCCGTGGACCGATACAGTCGTGATTATTTCTTGTTGAGAAAGCAATGATGTAGCATATAGAGGCTTGAGACTTTCATATTACGCTGTTTATAGAGCCCTGAAACTCTCATCTTTCTCCCATTCTAATTCCGGCGTGCAATCAAATCAAAACCATCAACAGGGATATGTTTGGAGGGGAAAACACTAACATGGTTTCAATGGAGGGAGGCTGGATACTTGATCCGATCATGGGAGAAATTTAAGGATTGCTTGTTGGAAAATATTCGAACCATTCTGGAAGGGGTCTTACATGACCAGTTCTATGACTTGTCTTAGAAGGAGAATGTCATGGAATATAAGGAGAGATCGAGCTATTGTTGGGACAGTTGAGGGGGATTTTTGAACCAGGATTGGAGGGAAACTTCATGAAGGGCTTAAAGCCAGACCTATGGACAACACACAGACTATTGAGACCACGAGGAATGAGGGAGGCGATGGAGCTTGCCCAGGTGGTGGAAGACAAGAACCTAATGAAGAAAACCCTCAAAAGCGGAACCATGGGAGGATTCCACAACGACAACCATAATATTGAGGACTTAGATCTTTTCAGAAGGAGACGCCAAATGGGAGGAATATAGGGATCCGCCCTGAGGCCAACTTCATGTGCCTCACAGAGGTAGAGTTGCAGGACAAGGGAGCAAAGGGAGTATGTTTTTGATGTGATGAGAAGTATGCCCTAGACCATCGGTACAAGGATCACACACTTAAGTCTATCTTGAGGACAAATTGTCTTTTTGAAAGGAAGTATTGTTATGCCGGTGCTTAGCCTAAGGGCAATTGTTGCTGGGCATAAATCGGGCTATGCATTAGATTGTTCTGGTGAGTCTTAGATTTAGGTTTTGGGAGAGATTTCTTACCTCTCAAATTGTAGGAATTGGGAGAGATCGTCTTCCTGTTGAATTGTAGGTGCTTATGTTATGTAATTATATTGAGTTGTTTGGTGTTCGTGAAATAAAATATTATATGCCTTAATTTTTGTGTGAAAATCTGCCAAAAATTTTATCAATTTCATAATATTGTTTGATTCTATTGGGGTTAAGAATCAGTAGCCTATATCTCCCCTTAGCCTGCCTTTCTTGATACCATTTCCTAAGTTGACTTAAAGTGTGGTCATCCTCATTGTTCTATCAGTTGAGCTCGAGATGCTGATGACTTCTAATTTCCTGGTCTAACAAATCCCATTCAACCAAGTTGATGGCATTAGGGATCCGTCTTCAACCTGTCATCCCTACTCACCCTTCTCTTGGTTGACTGTGATTGTGGCAGCACTGACACCTTTTTGCTTTATTTTAGGTGCAAGTCCCACTGGAAACAAGGAAATATAGCATTATCACTGAAAATTTTCCTCCCATTGTATGTGGAAATAAGCTGTACTCATGAAATATCAAACCACTCAGCAAAAAATCTTCATAATATACTCCGCCAGAGCTTTTAGAATCTTTGTATGCCATGGAGATCTTCTCGCGGTGCCTCTAGCTATGATGCCTCATAGCGCCTCTCCTCATTCCTTTTTGCTCACTTGCCCTGCAAATGTAGCATGACTATTTCTTGTTCTCACACATTGGACATTTATCTTGTTCCCCATTTAGTGCCACTTCAACACCTTCCATCAGCTAAGCTGACCACAGCATGAAGATAACCCTCATGAAATTTATGCTGATGGTGTTGATTGTTTTCAACCTCACGTTCTCTTGCTAATGACCCTTCTCATGTTTGATGGCGTCTGCCTGCACTGATAGTTCTATGCTCCACTATTTGGACTCCAAGTTCCACTAGAAAGCATGAAATGAAGTAATTATAATTAACAATATTCTTCCTTGTATTGACAGGCACCGATGATTCATCTTCAATATACTGTACTTCTTCAGAACTTATAATCTTGACATGCCATCAAGATCCTTTCGCTGTAATTTCAAGAGGGCCTTTTCTCACTCTAATTTTTTGGTCACTTACCGTTCTTTAGTTCTCACCTAGTGCTCATTTTTTTTCATATTGATTTTTTTCCCTCAGTCTGTTGCAAGCAGCATTTCATGTCCTAGATCATCACTGTTTTCTTCACTGATTTTATCCCTTTTTGGTTCCCCAACCGTGAAGCAGCGGACCATTAATGGTACTTACCTTACACGTTCTGTGATCAAAGTTAGGGATGATTTTATCCCTTTTTGGTTCCCCAACAGTGAAGCAGCGGACCATTAATGGTACTTACCTTACACGTTCTGTGATCAAAGTTAGGGATGATGCCACGGTTTATGGTTAAATCTACCTGAAGTTTAGTTTGATAAGGGCAGTTAAGTGCAATGAAGTGGTAAACTTGTCTGTTAATAATATATATATGAAAATCTTACTATTATATAGTTCAAGGTCAGTTATTAGCAATTGACTAGTTTTAGATGCCACAACGGTAGAATTCGGTAGTAATATTTGAAATTACTTTGCTCTTGGCATCTTTAAAAAAATCTTGATCAAATTCTTGTCCTAATATGATTGACACAGTGAGCAATTATCGCCTACTGTGGACTGGTGCTGGGGCTCAACTTGCTCGAGATGTGCCATTTTCTGCCATTTGTTGGTCCACGCTTGAACCGGTGAGTTTATCCTGTACAGTTGGTTCACTAGTGCAGATTTTCTATTTGGCGTGTGTTTTCCGTCTATATCCGGATTTTGGAAGTTCTTTCTTTGCTTTGAATCGATTAACGGAGAGAAAAAAAAAAAAACCAAAGTATGTTGACAACCTTTTTTTTCCTGTTTTTGTTTATGTTGTTTGCTAAATTTTGCAGATTCGAAGAAGTTTGCTTGCAGTTGTAGGTGAGGAAGCAAATGCAGCCAGTGTGTTAGGAGCAAATTTTTCGGCTGGTTTTGTTGCAGGCAGCCTTGCTGCTGCTGCTACCTGTCCACTCGATGTCGCTAAAACTCGAAGACAAATAGAGGTGGACATTCTGATCTTTACTTCTCTCCCGATTCTTAGTGTTTCTTTGTTTCATGACGTGGAAAGCTTTATGTAAAGCATTTAATCCTCTGTTAGAAGGTTCTAATCACTGCTTGAGTTCACTATTCTCTTTCACTTAGAGGTGTTAGCTTTGCTAGAATAGAGACACTGTTTCTAGGTTGGAATGTTCTTACTTTCACTAAGAGGTGTCTTAATAGTGTTCTATCTTACTGATTTTGGATTTCTTTTGATGCATTTGCTGACTGTCTTAATAATTTTTTGAGATTTTACTAAAAATGTGTGGAATGTTGTTGCAGAAAGATCCATCAAAGGCACTAAGAATGACTACGAGAAAAACATTGGCTGGAGTGTGGAGGTACTGCTGTTTTTATAGTGGTTATCAAGTTCCAAATATAGTCATATTAAAAAATCTTATATAATTTCTCAGGGCTCTTTGGGATCAATTTAATTTTTTTCTAATGTTGTTTTTGGCTTTTCCTTTTAAAAAATGTTTACTTGGTGCGTTTTTTATGTTTTTATTTTGGAATATTCACATTCATACCACAAAATTCTTTTGTAATTACATATCTAACACCTAAATCTTGATTTTTATATCTATACCACTTTATCTATGCTTAAAAAGTAAAGGCCACTTGGTGGTATTTTTTTTTGTGATATGAAAAATTGAAGTGTTATAAGTGTGAAAATCAATGTTTAGGTGATAGATAATACATAATAATTGTGGTATATATATGTAAATGCCCCATTTATTGTTTATTTTTAAAAATAAATTAATTTGCTTTTTAAAATATTCAATTTAACTAAAAGTTGTTTTCAATATTTTTAAAATAAAGTGTTTTGTTTTCAACATACCAAACATATTTTGCTCCAAATCAAAACCTAAACAAAACAAAACAAAAACAGAAGGTAGAAAATAAAAAGGGAACATAATCCTATTTAATCTCTCTATTTTTTGTTGTGTTTCCGTTTTCAATTTGTTTTTTTTTTTTGGTTATTTTTAATGTATATTTCAAAACCTTATGAATTTTCTGTTTTTAAATTTAAAGAAAAAAAAACTTGTTTGGTTTAGCCTTTTGGCTTAACACGAGCATGAAAAATTTTCCTTTAATCAAATTTTAAAGTCTTACACAAGTATGCATTATAAGACAATTTAAATAGATTCAATTGATGCCTACTTTGACTCACCTAAACTAATCAGTACCATACAAGTTGAAAATGACAAACACTTGATTATGTGCTCTGCTTCCAAAATTTTTTTTAACAAAGTGATCAAAATCCATTCAATATTCAAAGGGATTTGCAGCATATTAAAACTTTGTGTTCCATCTTTCATAAAGAATTCTATATGAAAAATTTGTCCCACCACTCGCCTAATAATCTTTATTGGCTAATTTTGTAAGCGAGTATACCCGTTTATCTCTTATGTGACCAAAAATTGATTCCAGACACGAGAGATTCCAAACAGCCTCTGAGGGGCTGTTTAGTCCTGTTTGCCATGAATAAACCATTTGCCTATATGATATTAAGCTTATTGAAAATCTTCTTTGCAGGGATGGAGGGGTGAAAGGTCTCTTTACAGGTGTTGGTCCTCGGGTGGCCCGCGCAGGCCCTTCTGTTGGAATAGTAGTTTCCTTCTATGAGGTCGTCAAATATGTTCTCCATCAAAGACATTCAAATGATTAAAAAGAAATAATCCAGCTGCTGCTATCTATAATAAATAGAGTTATCCCTTCTTTCCAATTAACAAAAGTTTCATACTCCCATCAATAAGTGTCTCCCTTTTTGGCGAGGTTGGGAGCATAATTTTCTCTGTCCAGATTTGCTCATTGCCTCGCGTTTTTCTTCATTCAAGCTCTCTCTTGGCTTCTGGACAGCAGATGCGCTGATATTAATTGATGACACCATACTCAGTTTGTTCTGAGATTGCAAGAATGACTGCTGAATAATTATAAAGTTTGAACAAACAACTGTGGTTGAGATGCTTAATGTAATTTCCTTATTGGAAGATGCAAATGCTAATTTATTTCAGGCTTTGACGCTCGTTTACGACAATGCTTTAAGAATGGATAGGTTTTATATGTTTGTATTTTGTTTTGCAGCTCATTTGTATTAAGCTGCTTGTGGTGCTTGATGTAGCCTGTGGGGTTAGCTTTTTTTTTATGCTGTTTATAAGATCGTTAGTGAGCATTCGAATTTCTCTCTTTATGCCCCTCCTGCTTTTACTTTAACACCAGTATTTAAGTATTTGTTTTTCAAATTTAAATAAGCTTAGTTATCAAACTTGTACAAATTATTTGGGAGAATCTTTCTTTTTTTTTTTGTTGAGTTTTCCAATTTTTGTATCTTCATATTTAATTTACTTATTATTTCAGTACCAAAAATCGTCATATAGATGGAATTTTGAATAAATAAATATGTAATAAGATTCACAGGATTATTATTACAAAAAAATTATAATCTAACTTTTTTGCCAAACAAGAGAATATATCGTAATTTTTCTCATAGGTTTAAAATCTCGGACAAGAGAGATATGCGCACATTATCAATGTATGAAGACAACCTCCTGATCATAATGGAGAGAGTATTCCACAATTGAGTTGTTAGAAATTATGGGTTGTCAAAATTTAGAATTAGGCCGCTACTTTAAAACTATATTTTAATTATGTGTGTAATTTTTTATTTTGAAAAGTATTTTAATTTTGAAAAAAATATGAGACCGAATATGTCTCACGCATTTAATTCTGTCGTTGTGTGCCTCCGAGATAACCAGTCTATTGTTCTTTTATCATACAGATCTAACAAGTTTGTAGTTAAAATACATATAAAGAAAATATTTTGTAAAAATGCATTAAAGAAAAGAAAATGAACTAAAACAATGCGTACCTAGGCCTCTGTTCATGCTGCAAAAGGGTTAGTACAATAAACATAATATGTTAATGTGTAGGAAATTTGAGCAAATAAGAAAACTTATGCAATTCGTAAGAAAATCCGGCACAAGAGAATTCAAGAGAATCATAAGAAAAAACACGAATCGAGTAAAAATAAACTCGTCACATATAGAAGATCGAAGTTAAATGTGGGGGCTCAAAGCTGGGCTATGTGCTTTATAATCCCAACATTAGATAGAAGCCACCAACCAAGCAATCTAAGAAGGGCAATCCTTGGCCTCAATCGAAGTGATTAATAAATGGACCATTATAGGATTTCATAAAAAAATCTTATTAATTTTTCATGCATGTTAAGCTTACTTGGGAACCAAAAGTAGTAGTGCCACAGGAAAAACTATTTTTATTGTGTTGTACATATGTATGTAAATGTTTTGGTAAAATTGGATAATCCACAAGTTAATCACCCTGATCGGACTAGAACTACATGAATCCTAGGAAGACAAGGGGTAATTATTCACCAAGAGTTGGGGAATAGTATCATCGATCATATCCCCTTCTCAAGGTCGTTGAGGTAGGAGATACTATTCTAATGTCCCACTCTTAGCACACATAAGCATTGTCGTCATCGCCCTCGTCACCTGGACCTCCGACTTACACAAGTCTGATGATCCATATGTGGCATCAAAATATCCTCAGTTGCTCATAAAGGCTTAGACACTTTATACAAGGCTCATATCCTTGAGCATTTGATTTTATTATAGGATAAGTAGTGACGAGGTTTTCATTTTTGGTTTAAGTTAAAAGGGTCTTGAGTCATATCTTTATGAGTCCTTTGAAATTTCATGTTGGTTTGGCTTGACTTTAATTATTGTTGAGTTTTCTGGATGATTTCATTCAACAAAGTATAGTAAACCCAAATATCATCCAGAATATCCAAAATCCCTCAAAGGTATTCAAGATGTAATTCTAAAACACTCCTAAGACTTATGGGGTCACTCCTAGTTCATTTAGTTCTACTAGGTTATTGATTCAATCAACCCATGTCGAATTATATTGCTCGTTAAATTGTGCTCAATGGTTTAATGTTTTAATTTACCCATTAGTAGGGCATGTAGTCACTTCTTTGATTGTGTTTGAGATTTGTACAGGTGGTCAGTCTGAGGGGGCAAGTTTAATTACTTAAGGTAGTTTTATTCTTGCTTTCTCAATTGAACTTGAGATTGTAGTGTTTATGATAGGTTGTGTTCTTTCTTTTCTAATCCCTTTAAATGATTTAGATCAAACCTAGCTCACTACCATGCTCTTAGATACTTTAAAGACAAATTTGTAATTTTTGAAAAAAAAAATTATGATTTGTGTTTGATTCTTTATTAAAAGATTAAATTATGCTTAACCATTGGTTTGGGACCTCAAATCAGTGAATTTTTTGTCTTCCTAACTCATGCTCCTCACATTAGAATCATCCAAACTTAATTATCTTCCAAATAATAACAATTTGATTAATTACAATTTTACCTTTTTGTAGAAAATGAAGTGAATTGGCTCCTACCCTTTTATCCTTTATGTTTTGATCACCTAAGAGAGTTATTAATGGTAATATTACCTTTTATCCTCTCATTTTTCCTAAATTAGGGTATGAAATTTCAAAATTACTATTTCACTTTTAGCGTTCTTTATTTCATAATTCTTCAATTTACTTCCAAGGACCTTAAAACTTTGTTGTTATTCTACTCATGGGTCAATTTACACATCAGTGAAGAATTTATATTTTTTCAATTTTTATTTAATTTTAATAATTATTTAGTCAAAAAATAAGAATTTCTAGTGTTAATTAATTTAATTAACTAAAACATAGTTTATGCTATTAGGAAATTTTTAGGAAGTTCATCTAGGTTAGAGGACCACTTAGAATAATTTTCATGAATTTTTGAATTATATATTAATTCTTTAATTGATTTTAATGAATAAATAAATGGAAAACAAACTTTATTTTAAATATTCATTTTTATATTTTTTTTGATCTCTCTAACTTCAAAGAACTCACGGAAATGAATTTCATATTTTATGATTTTTATTTTTATTTTTTGAAATTATTTTGTTCAAAAAATAAGGAAAAATACATTTAACTACTTAAAAATATATTTTTATACTTTAAAATTTTATAAAGGTATCTCTTAGTTGTTTTCTGTAATTAAGGTGAGATTTATCACATTGTGAAGTATATTTATAGTTTGTGATCTCTTTTGATATTTTTCTTAATTATTTTTAAATTAGAAAATGCCTAAAAATTAACTTTTTATATTAACTTCAATTTTACTTTTTCCTAAGTGTCTCTAGTCTCATGGAATAATCGAAACTAATTTTTATAATTTTTATTTTTCTTTTATTTTTAATAGTTATTTAAAGCTAAAACTTTTATTTACTTAGAAAATATATTTTTGTATTAAAAATAATTTTTATGATTTGTAAATCTATTTTTGTATTAAAAATAATTTTTAGGATTTTTAATTTTTTACAAAGGCTTTATAAGTCATTCTCCTCAATTTGGAACATTTTGGTGATTTTTTGAATTTTTATTTTTTCTTAATTTTTAATATTTTTTTTTAATTTTAAATCAGAAAAATACATTTTAACTTTTTAAATTTTATTTTCAATTTTCCTAAGGTCCTTTAGCCATAGTGAACCTACCAAACTTGATTTTATATTTTTGTGTTTTTTATTTTATTTTTAATAATTTTTTAATTAAAATAAAGTTAAAATTTCTAGAAAATTATGGCTTTCACTGTTAGGAGAGTTCTTTGATCTTGGAAAAATCAAAGGACACTTCTAGCATCATTAGGAATTAACCCTAAAAATTTCATTTAATTGGTATTATTATTTAATTAATTATGGTTTAATTACTCTCTAGAGTATTTAATTCATTTGCAAAAAAATAACTGATAAATATTTTTGGCTTTTTATTCATTAAATTCTCTTATGTTTACTGAGCGTTGGAGTATTTTTAATTTATTTTTGTGATTTTTCTACACCAAGATATGAATTTTTGAAATTAAATGACATTTTATGTATTTAATTAAATAAAAAAATCCCAAATTTCCTACTTATCCGACTCAGCACCGCGTCATTCTCAGATTCATCGAACTCCCACACATTGCCCATTGATTGTTTGTGTGTTGACCTCACTTTTGATTGAGGTTTAGTTTTCCCTCTTTAGTAGCCTAGGGTCTAGTCATAGAGTTTTCCTAATGCCTATTCCTAGAAAACTAGAAAAGGAACCCACACCCTTAGAAACTCTAAACTCTTCCTTGCTCAACTTTAAGTTCCACATATTGGTTCTAACCTCTAACACTCAGTAGGTGGGGTCAGTATGGGGAATCTCAAGGAGAGTCCTCATAGGATTGTTTGACCTTAGGGAACCTATTTAGAAAACCTGAGAATGTTTTCTAAGGAAGTACCTGTTGATGAAGGTCCTCACCAAGATGAGTCAAAATTATCAGACACCTATCCACTTCTACAAGGGAGTAGGTTCCATCCCTTAATGGACACTAATGGGTATGAAAGTATCCAAAAAATCACCACTACTTTATTGTCACCTTGTGTACATGATAGGGAGAGGAAGAAGCCTGCTCCTATCACCCGAGTCAGTTCAGTTTTTCAGAGACTAGCTGTCAAAGAAGGTTGTTCACTTGGTGAGTTACTTAACTGAGTGGGGTGTGCAGTATCCACTTGCATGAAGAAAGAAATTTTAAGGGATGTCAAATCTACCCGACGATCTCATAAATTAACTGAAGCTTTGCTTGCTCTCATTCTCATCTGTTTCCGCTTGGGAAGCAGAGTTGATACCACCATTGTTTCTACTGATTCTACCATCACTAGACCCACAGGACGTCGACCAGTTAAGTCGTGTCTGGGTCCGAAAATTCTACCGATTACCAGCCACAAGGATGTTCTTAAAGTTTCAAAAGGAAAGACAAAGAGGTTACCAAGTACTGTATCTAGTCCGCACAATGAGGAGCATACTTCTCTTCGACATGCCGACTGCTGAGACACTCGATCTCAATACATCACCGTCAAAGAAAAAGGTATGGGTACCCAAGGTCGTCGTACCGATACAGTCCAGTAAGCTCACAAGGCAGGATCATGGAATGAAGCAAGGGGTCCGAAGTATCTGACATTGTCGCAATAATTACTAGCGAGATGGATGTGCAAGTAGAGGATGTCCAACAAAGTCCTCCAGATCTTAAGGTGCTATAAGAATCAACAATTGAAGGAAAGGTTGAAAAGCTCAAGGTCGAGATTT